CGGTTATGTTTATTTATACGTTCTAATCTTATTGAGAATGACACACTCTTAGTCAATTAAAGCGTGGTGACATCTTCTGTTTGTTACCGAATGATGTCATCCGAGGCAAATGTAATATGAATAGATCACATAGAATTTCTATACCATTGCGTTAATTTTTAGTAGTTAGTATAACATTTCTTATAAAATTAACGACTCGCTTGTCGGCGGCTTCATACTGTAACCTAGTCCACGCGGTTTCTCATAGAAAAATTCGACATGGATCATATTGAGTTACACGTATCTCAACGTGTCTGTCGTCCGTTCACCGGAGTTCTCACCTTACTCGTGACCAAACGCTATTCTCGCCTGTCCCAATAGGCGCTAGAGCGAATACCGCCCTTATTCCAAACGGCGAAGAGTCAGACTCGGCAATATCTCATTTCGGCGGAGGTGTGGTAAAGCTTGCAAAGGTTCGCATTACTGGCTGCGCGTAATTGACACTTCTATGTGGAAACCGTCCCGTTGCGACGTTCTACGTCCGCGTTAGACTTTAGCAGGCCAGTAAACATAATGCGAGAGAGCATAAACTTATCACAGTTTGTTGACTCGTTTTGGGCATTTCTGTTAGCCGCGATAGCTCAGTGTGCCGGGCGCTCGCTTCTAATTAAAGCAACCTGGGATGCATTTTGCAATTATTGTAAGTGCTGATTTATCACATGCCCATAGATAAAGGAAAACATCGCGAATAAATCAGCATGTATATTTTCGAAATATTTAATAAAAATAATTCAAAGATAATTGAAGTTTGCCAATCTGTTGTAGGGTGGCGTGTATCAGACTTTAAGACTCATGTATAAGACTTTAGTCCAATGGGCTGGGTTATGTCTGCGTCATGGTGTCCTAAATATTTGTAAAAAGCAACGCGTAATTGTCTCGGATCTGAGTTTTATAAGTTCAACAATTTGGGTTTTGTATAAGGATATTATGAAAATAAATAACTTTCTCTATAATTTATGTTGCCATTTTTATTTGAACAAAACAGACTTGAAAAACATGGAGATGGTGTCAAAAAGTACTAGGAGAACGTCAGTATAATTTCTATGACACTGATGTTCTCTTAGTACGAGACCGTAAAATGTTCTAATGTATTTTGATAGAACCGGTATTAGAGTTTAATTATATTTATTACCTTTATTCGTCGATGGACTAAAGATGTTTAGAAGCAGCATTAACAACGTTGTGCAGTAGTGAAGTCTTGTCGCAAGGCGTTCGTTCGGCAAAATTATGACATCCAAATTTGGCGATTGCCGATAAGAGGTACACAATAAAACATAACCGAGCAATAAAATAACATTTCATCTACTATTGCGACTGCTAAAAACGTTATACGTTTATTTAAAAAAAAAAAACGTTTAGATAAAATTAAACGTTATACGTTTAATTTTATCTAAAACGTTATACGTTTAATTTTATCTCTTTCATTAGTTCTATTCGAATGATAGCGCTAAATAATTATCTCTTTACAATTCGATGGCATGAAATGTTGTGGTGTTACTTTTAGCCGTTATTTATGTGACATCAGTTGTTATCGCGCGATAAGGGTGCCCTTTGCGTGTTTTATCCCTGTTTTGTTCGCATTAACTTAATTATGAATCCAAAGCTAGTATCACTGGTGTTTTCATGACGTTTCATACATCGTTACATAAGCGTATTTATAAACAACGGCACCATTATATCATATTCTTAGTGTTAATTACAGGTTTATAGTATTTTGTAAAATGATATGATAAATTTAATAAGAAAAAAAATGTTTATTGACCGATTTTTCTTATTTTTCAAACATGAAAAATCACTCAATAAACATTTTCAAAACTCTCATGTATTTAAAACACTACATAAACCCTTAACATAAGTATGTTTAGATGTTTATGTCGTGTTTTAAATACATTAGTGTTTTATACGAGTAAAAAAATTAAAGACTTCATTAACCGTATCTCGCATGGAGTACCAGGGCGGCATCAGTGGGTAGGAGTCGTTGACCGCATTCTTTGCGCCGATACCGCGCCGAAAGTGGAGCAAGCATCCGCCATAATTATGTCTATTAGATTGGTGCGATCGCTTTTGCCACCCTCGCAAATCCTATAAACTTTTTCATTCTGAAAGCCTAGTAGTATAAAGATAGAGTTCAATTCTTTGGTAAATAATAAGAATATTTTGAAAAAATATACGACACAGTGACACATAAGACAGTTTGAAGTTAGTAATAGTGATCCCTGAAGAGCGAAATATAAATAACTAGCGTCCCGCCAAGGCTTGTATTATACATATAAACGCTCCCTCTTGAATCAATATCTAATAAAAAAACCGCATTAGGATCGGTTGCGTAGTTTTAAAGATACATAGGGACAGACAGACAGTGGGGCGGCTTTGTTTTATACTATGTAGTGAAGTTCCTTGCTCCTTTAGATTTTTGACTGTAGCTCACTGTGCAGTTATTTTTATATCTATTAGTTAATTTGTACCAAACGGACGGAGATAAGAAAGCGAGATTATAAAAGCGTCGTGAAAAAATAGGCCAAGCCTACACTTCGTATGACATTATGGTATGACGTATCACATTTTAGTAATAGATCAAACTCTTGTTGTAAAGAACGAAATTAAATTCAGTTCATGATGCAGTGGTGTGTTTCGGTTATATGAGGTTTTTTTGTTAAAGTAGCATATGTATATGCTACTTTAACAAAAACTAACTACAACACTTTCTGCTGGCGAGTTTGTTCGTTGTCCTTAATCAAATTGATGCAGTTTGAAATAACTATATCAAATGTCTATTGTATATGTTGGTCAGCGAAACCAACGAAAAGCCGCGGCGCCACATAATACGTCGGATATTCGATACGACAAAGGCGGGGACCGTCGCGCGACCTAATTAGTATGCTAGAGCGCAACATAGTTATGATTGACTTGTAAATTGGCCTAGGGTGTCATTGAACGAGGGATTATTAAAATTGTCTTTGCGTTTCAATTATGGATGTTGTTTGCAGGAATCTTATGTCACGCAAAAGTACAAAGCATAGGCTACGTATTTAGATTTTCTTTTTTTTATGTAAGAAGGTGGTTAGCGAGTAGGCGGTTCACCTGATGCTAAGTGATAACCGCTGCCCATGGACATGTGCAACATCGGGTGGCAGATGGGTTGCCACCAATTAAATTAAGTGGGCCATTAAAAAGTTTTCCTTAAGAGAATTCTTTACAGACGCCCTTTTAATGGCTTTAGAAAGCCAGTGATTTTATTGAAGTTCTCATTAAAACTGTATAGTTTATCTATCAAAGTTAAGTAGTTACCCAATCTATGAAGGTATTTCTAGGTGGGGTAATGGGGCAGACATTTATCTATAAAAATTGTATCTTCGTTTCACAAAAGTAAGACAATGTTTATTTATTATATGAAATATTTTTGATATCTTTTCAAATGGTTAGTTTAGTCAAGCCTTAGTTATACCAATAGTATAATTGAAACAGCCAGCGGTAGAGAAAATGTCTTAGTCAATTATCTTACCGAGGCATCTAAATTATTCGACTTATCAAACGGCCTTCTGCCATTACCATATTGCTTATTAGTAGCTTTTTCTACTCGTACCAAGCTGTCACTCGTGCAGGCGGTTCACCTGATGATAAGTGAATATGTTCACCAGGTGCCCATGGACATCTTCCACATCCGAGGGTTGGCAGCTGCGTTGACAATCTTTAAAAGAGTAGGCCCCTCCTGTTAGATCACTCACCAGACGAATCTCGAAAAGTTAATTGACGTCTTCCGTGAAGCAGTGGTTGTACCTACCTCGACGCAACTGCTCATTCGCGCAATAGCAGATCTTTTACGTGGCCACAGTTATTAATCGTTTAAAAATCGTTTGAATATAATTAATAATATTTTTATTGACTATTTACTATATTATTTGTTAGTTTTAATTCGCGTATTCCAAAGTCAAACAAGAACCAAAACTGATGAAATGGGATCTTCGGGGTCTCGAACGGTGTTCTTTTTGATTGTAACTAGTCGAGAGCAGTAGAAAATGCCGATAGCGGTAGACAACAAATGATTCTCAAACTAATCGTTTTTCAATGACAACATATAAAACAATGCCGGTGTTTAACTGTTTGTTCCTGAGAATAAAGGCCCATTTACACGGTGCCAGTTTCTTGAGTTTCTGTTGTATACAATTAAATTGAAGCAATAAATGAGTTGCATGGTCTAAACAACAAATGGTCTTAACAATTATTGCGCGCAATTTATTGCATTCAATTATTGCTCTTGTATGTACAAGAAAATGGCATCGTGTAAATGGGCCTTAAATTGTGAATATGATAGAGATGTGAACCCAAAATATAAACAAAAATAAATAAATCAACATTAAAAGTGATATTATAATCTAATAATACATTAGATAATACAGTACGGACCAGCCTCATATTATTACTTCTTCATTAATTTATCGTACGAATCACGATTGCTTGCTGTCAGTTTCCTTGTTAAAATATTCGTATAAACACGGTCATAAGAGATTGTTGTTTTAATAAATGTGAATAGAAAACGAAATTTATTATTTTTCGAGACAGACAAACCAAGTGACGGTGCTATCTTTAACGCAATCGACGAGCCGCATTTCGCCTAACACTTGCATTAACGGTGTGTATTTCTCATCAGATAACTTGTGCGATCGGTCCTGGTGCAAATGTGATTTTATATAAGCGTAGTGAATAACATATTTATTAAAAAAAAAATAGTTTATATTATTATTATTACTGTAATTATAATTATATACAATCGGACGCGAGATGGAGCGTCACAAATCGAATGTGTGCGGATTTTGTGCTTCCAAGAGAACAGTGGTCTGTTGAAAACTAGTGTTTAGTGCGTGTCGTGTCGTGTCGTGTCGTGTCGTGTCGTGTCGTGTCGTGTCGTGTCGTGTCGTGTCGTGTCTCTAAACGTTTGCCTGTTCGTGCGGTGCGTGCGTAGTATGCTGATCAACACGTTCCTCGACACGGAGGATTTCGTGCACCTTTACTATCCGGAGGATGAGAGCGCGGCGCAGGGCTGCGGCGCGGGCGCCCGGATGGCCTCCAAGTACCCGCCGAGGCCACCGTCGCCAGAGTACAAGCAGGTAGGAAGCCTACTCCTGCCTCAAAGGCCGGTAAAGCAATTGTGACTCAAACGAGTCACGTGTCTCATTGGCGGCGGTCATCGCTTATCATCAGTTGACGCTGGCACGTTTGCCTCTTTTGTCATTAAAAAATAATATAAAAAGGTACACAAGCGATCAGGCGATAGACGAATACGGGCAAATAGACGCTCGGTCTCTGTCCGATGAAGGTTTATATAATTGCAAAAGATTGAACCGGTAACATCATCTTACGAAACTGACGCACGTATGCGTCCATCCTTTTCCAGGCAACATTTTCTCATACTTGTCATTCCGTACAGTTTTATGTTTGGTGAACGGGACGTGATCTGTCTCTCTTTCTGTAAGTAACGATATGTCCCGCCATCGAGGCACCGATAGTATGCAGCGAAAATGATCGATGAAGCATTCGCTGGCCTATATGCAAGTACAAACCTAGCTAAGTATATCAATGAACTCATTGCTGGATTGAGATTTTTTTTATAGAATTTGTTTTTCCGACTACTTCAACTGTACCAGAAAAAAACTTAACAGATTGTGACAAACAGAGACGAGGTAAGAAATCGCGTTTTCGCCATCATAATGTTTTATTTAATTTACTCGAATGCTGAAAGTTGTAATAAAAACAATGCTCAACGGAATACGTCGAGTATTTTTAAATGAATCGTGATAAACTTCTGGTAAACTGGCTCTTATTGGGAGAAAGGTATTCACCATAGGCAGATATCGTGGTGCGATTTGTTTAAACACATCTTTTGATTTTTCATCTGAGGATTGCTCAAGTCCAACAACGAAGTCGATAGTTACATATTATACACTATTACAATGTTTCGTTTTGCGCCGTTCGAAGCGTACGGTTGGACATACCAAGTGACTGTGTCATTTGTTAAATCCAAACAACCGATGTGTTAATGCCCGACAAGGCTCCAACCTTGTGAAAACATGCATGACGCCAGCTCTGCCCTTCCAAGTCCATTCATGAGTTTGAAAGGATGGCGGCCGCTACTATTCGCTCTCGATCGCAACTCGACAGAAGTACACCTGTTGCTTCTTAACACTATTTCATATTTTCATTTATATCTATCAGAAATAAATGTGTGTTTTGTAAAGATTTCGTTACGCCTATATAAATTAGTTTGTGTAATGATAATATTTATATTACCTCGCCGTTGTTGGCTTCTTTTGTTTTTTTTTTTTTTTTTTATTAAATTTCTCTGTCACGCGTAAATATTTAAGGTGAAATGTAAAATCAGTAAGATATTTTGGTAGTGCAAATAAAAGAGAAATAACGATGTCTAGAATTCACATGAATACAATAAATGAATAAGTAACTGTATTTGGTCAACCGAGTTGAACAATTATTATAATAATTATGGTTCCGTAGCATCCTAAAAGAAATCGAATTTATGCAATTTTAGATGTTGTTTAACAAATCAAGCTTATGTGAATTTGTTTTTATATTTAGAAAGAAGTGTGACAATGTATGGATGTGTGATAAATAGTAATTCAATTGTTAATTATTGCTCGGTATTATATTTCAATTTTTAACGCGCAACCTGCAGCGGCGAGCGGACACTCGATGCCTTAATCGAGTTATCGTATCTATCGGTACTAATGACGTAAATTGAAACATATGGTTGGGGCGGTCCCACGGGCCCGTAGTAATCGCCCCGTACGCAATGTCTGTCGCCGCGTCCCATGAGTCAGCGTTGAGGCACTTCGACGCTTGTCATCGCTGACTATGGCTCTTGTGTGTAGTGCCTACCAAAACTATGGACGTAAAAACTACTAGGTAGATCGATGGGTTTTTTGGTTCATCAGAGATCGAGGAAAACGCTCGTGCCTCGCGCGTTTATCATGCAGCGTGCATGATAAACGCATTGAATTTGAACAGAATAACAATTTGAAATAATCATATTTTGTGGTGTTCGAATTATCAAAAAATGTACATATATGTACGCTTTGTATGTCTCATATCTATTTGGATAAATTGAAAGATAACAGTGGATAAACCGTGCATTGATTATTTTTATACAAACAAAGATAAGAAAATTAAAATATGTAGAAAAATCTTAAGTGTAAAGATTAGCACTATAAACAATTTAAATTTCTAAAAAAGATAAGAAAAGACAAAACGTAGACAGCCGACGGAGTAGAATTAAAGTTGTGAAATATATAATTGCCATAAAAATCAGGTGAGAAAAAATGTTGTAAAATGCATTTTTCTTTGCGCATTACTGTGGTACGAAACCGTATATTTGCTACTTTAATTCAATACTTTTACTACCTACGTTTATTTTATCGTTCTTAACGCGTACCGAAAAGGATTGTAACGATTTGCCGGTTATATTTACCGCTAGATTGAAATGTGAAACACGACGTTTTCGATCCGAGAGTGAAGGGGCACTTCTGTCCGTCATTGCGTACTACCTACGATTGCGTTACCACTTACCATCAGTTGGGATGTCAGACGATCCCTAGCCGGTGGGCGATGAAAAAAAATCGCCAACGAAGGCCGGACGGTAAAACACCGGTGGCCTTGAGTGGTTTTACAACTTTCCCTTCGAACACTGCGCTCTGTAGACGAAACATACTCGTCGTTTAGCTCGAAATAGACCATACTCGATACATTATTCGCCTCGTAAATAAAAATGTTTCAATGAACTATTAATCCGCCTCGTATGCAATAAAAAGTTTCCACTATAAAATATTAAAGATACTTATATACTTAATCTACATTTTAATACGTCAAGCGCAAACTTTGAATCCCTTTTCGCGAAGGAGTGTGAAGTTTAGCATAGTTAATGTCTCTTAAAATGGAGAAGTGCAAAAAATTTTTTTTTTAATGTCGTACGTATTACCAATACGCATGATAAAATTAAATGAAACTTGCATTGTTTTCTGTTACGCTCATAGTGTCAATGTGAAAACAAGTTGCACAGTGTGAATATCATGTTGCGGTCATTACAAAATTCTTCGAGGTTGCGTTTGAGAAAATATAATTTATTAAAAAAAATACTTTATTGTAATATATTTATATATTATACTTTTTGTTTGTGAAAAACACATTAGATGGTTAATGTTAATTGATAACGGTTTAATTAAATAACTTTCTTGGAATTTCCTCCAATGAGCGACTACTAGTATACATTAAATTTAAGAAAACTTCCAAACATTTTTTTTTAAATATTGAGATTAAGAATCAATGAATAGAAAAAAAAACTATACCTACCAAACAAATTCACATACGTAGATATATTTTGGTATGTGATAAAAAAACGTGTATATAAATAAATGCAATAAGTTCTATAGAGGATACACAATAAATGAGTTTTATAAACTCACATTTCCGACGATGAACGTCGCGGAGCCGCGAAGGTGATGATCCTTGAGGTACACGGATATCAGCGGCGGCTGAGCGCCGACCTCGATAGGCCTACTTGTGCCGCGGCAGGCAGACGATTCGCCTTATGCAATACGACCCTCTGTCTCGTTTCCTCCATTGACTAGCTCAGCTCCGCGCGGTGATGACGCACTTGTCGTTGCGAAACGGCACGCGGAGGCCGTTTCACGTGGCGTTACTCAACGCTGCAAGTAGTACGGCAGACTAATTGGGTTGAACATGATGCGTGGTGCCCTGGTAGTTTGAGATTCGTTCAGCTGTCAAAGTCCATTTTGTTGATAAAAAATTCTTGGATTTAACGTACAATTCTAGTAAAATAGACAAACTGACTATAGTTTAATTTACTGACGATTCGAATACTTTAAAGTACAATTGGTTACGGTTTCGTAATGTCATAGTTGACCCGGGCTACCGCCATCTTGTTAATGATTTATTTTGTAGACTAAGCATACAACATTTTTCACTCTTGTAGTTATGAGTGTACATATGGTATCTTACCATCATTTCTAGTAATAATTTATTTCCATCGCTTAGCCTTTGCATGAATTAAGATTTTTGGATTTAGGATTAGGCGGTCCAAAATAAGATCGATCACAAATATACTTTGATATAATTATGATTGACTGGTACAGTTGTTTTCATTGATTAATAAATAGTATGAAAGGCAAATCGCATAAGTACTATAATTGTGACATAATGGTCATATCTTTTAAATTTATTCTAATCTTATGGTCATTGAAAGATTGAATACTCACATCGTTAAGATGGAAAATTACCAAGGTTGTAGTTGCTTTCAAAAAACTTCAAAGTAACGCGCCAAGTAAAAAATCATTATTAGCTGAATGCTTGAATGCCGTATACAACGTTGCGCGTTATTGCAACTGGTTTTGATTTTTTCTCTCTTCAAAGCAAAGTCAATTGACTTAAGAATTAAGCTGTATTAACTTTATAGAAAAATGTTTAAAGATCATGAAAATCCAAAGTTAATTTTCCGTGCAGTACTAAGTTTTATATGACGCGGTATTTTGTTTAATGGAACTTCCGTTTAAACGTTGGTTGACTGGGAGATAATGCTTTTAGCATTAAGTCTGCCATTGTACTATTTATGCATAAAGGTTAAATAAATAAATAAATAAATAAACCTCCGTATTGCATTGCTTTCCAATGACCTATATTAAGATAGATATTTTATCTTTGAGGCTGAAGGTCAAAAATATTCACTTTTTTAGGGTTCCGTATCAAAAGGGTGAAAAGGGAATTAATTATAATTAATATTAAGACAGACAGACAGCGGTGTCTGTCATGATGTGATGATGTATTTCTGCCGCTATAACCGCACTGCCGCTATAACAATAAATACTAAAAACATAAAAAAAAAAATAAGTGGGATACAACAGACATGCATTTTTTTGCCGTTTTTATAGATAATCGTACAGAACCATTTGTGCGCGAGTACGAATCGCACTTGGCCGGTTTTTGATGTGAGAAAGTGACAAAAGAGCTGGCGGTTTACCTGATGTTAAGTTATATCCGCCGTCCATTGTCATTTACAACACTCGTAGAGTTGCAGATGCGTTGC